CAATCTTAAACGAGGCGGATGGATTATGGAATTAATTATGGATGGAGGGAGATGGACGAAATATGAAAACACAAAGGAGTAAGCGAGACGCGAGAAGCAAATACGGGAGAGTAGTGTCATCTGAATCTAAATCGCGGCTATGTACCTACAGAAAATGAACATTGATCTTATTAAGCCAGAAGAGGGCCAAAGACGCCAAAACTCATGAACCAATCAGAGAAGGGCGAAAGGATGGCAATACTCTCCAGTACCTAGGTCAAAGACACATAACCTAGATGTAGGCGAATTCTACTAAGGTCTCCGAATAAGGTTATCACCGGTGGAAAAGTTTTCGGAAAACAGAACGCGAATCTTGAACTTTCAGAAGTAATTATAGGATAACTATAAACCGCATAGAAAAGAGAGTTTTAGGACTGTTATTTATTTCTTACGCTAATTTGCATTTAATCGTATTCACAGAGGCATAATGAGGTAATCAAAAAAAAAAGAAGTAAAAATGGCGTTTCGTGCATCGATGAGTTGGTGCGCCATTTGATCGCTTGAGCGCCCTACTATACTAGAGCTCTAGTGGCAAATCGAAATCAAAAAGCGCCGCCTATCGGCTGAGCGCTTAAAATGAGTTCAAACATGGTACCGATGTTGAAACGTCTTGGATTTCTCGGTTAAAGCCGTATACTTTTAATTTTATTCATATTTTATGTTACATCAAAAATTTGTTCGTAACATTTTCTAAGTCCAGGGTTGTAGTTTTACGGTGTATTACGTCACCTCATTAGAATATCAAGATTGTTTATTGATCTGTGTTCTCTCTCACCAGCCTCGTGTTACTGATATGTACAGTTCCACTTTCGACCGAGATGTATATAGTCCTGTACCAATCTTCAATCATGAAGTTCACTTAAATAAATAAAAGAGTATTTTGTGTGCGAAGCTGTTATTTTATTTCTGTGATGTGATGTCAACCATTCAGCACCACAATTCGTTGGGAAAACATCATTTATGGATCTGGGGGGCTTTCTCGGTTTTGAGACCATTTCGTGTAATAAATAGGAAAAAAGAATAAGCTGTAGTTATACTTGTAGAGTGAGCTCAAAATATAGTGATCCTTGACTCATAAATGGGTACCTAATGAGACTGATTTTTTATACGAGAAAATGATCTTCGAAGTCTAAAACCAATAGAATAACACAATAATGGGTCCGTTTTGCATCCTTAGGAGATCATGTTTAAAAGTAATGTTATCAGCCATGTAAGAGTAATAATGCACACTTAACCTGCACTGTAATACGATTATAACGTTAAAATTGAACAAAGATTTCGTATAAATTTCTTCAAGGCTTGAAATGACAAAAAATATTTTTTTAAAACAAAAATGGAAATTTTATTTTTACAGTATGCCATTGTACGGGGTGCTTTTTATTTCCCTTCCATGCCCAATGGTTCTGTAATAAATTATTAGATTATTCAAGAAAACTTTTCCTTGATTCTTTTACTTCTTACACGAACAGTCCCGCCTGATTTCTCTGAAAAATGCTCTATGACAAAGGTGGTTGGTTCGGAGGTAGGCTCATCGGTAGAGTACAAGTAAATGGGCCGATGCCACTGGGTAAGGAAGAAATTGACAGCAAACGGTTCCCCGAGATCATACCGCTTCACAAATTTTTTGAGGTTGAAATTCAATCGCTGTGTAACATTACTGAAAACAAAAGAAAAAAATCGTGCAAGATGCTACAACTCGTTTAAATGTGTAGTTACTGTCAATTGTTGTAAAATAATTTTTCGAATGTGTTGACGAAAATTCTACTGATAGAGTCGAGGCAACGAATTGCGTACATTTTCAAACCGCATCTTAGGTACGCTAGAATTAACTAAGTATTCCTTCATCGACGTGTTTTAAAAAAATCTGCGGGTTGTAATGAAGTCATTTCCTCCTGTTGCTTGTATTAATATTTTTTGGCAATTACTGATTAACTTAGAAGAAATTATATTTAGTTTTTGAGATGTTTTTATTGCTACTTCGGGTTAAGAATTATGTGAATTACCAATGCTCCAGTTTTGGCATAGTGACGTTGATAGTTCTGTTGCCTTGTGAAAAAGCAAGAAACACGTATCGGTGTAGCCCTGCGTAACAGAAGGACATAAAAATTAGATTATTTCTTAGCAAAATTCTAAATTATCGTAATTTCATTTGCGTTCCTATATTTTGGTACAATGGGGTTTGTTGCGCTGTTTTCAAATTTAAGCAGGGGACATAAAATTAAGCTCTAAAGAATGATTAAATATTTTCTTCGGAAATCCCGAAGCTGTCGTGACGGATTCATCCTCCAGAGTTTTGTAGCCCCTTGCTCCGTAGGCAATTCCTTAAGTCCCTACAGTAAAAATTGCCTACTCAGCAAGGAGCTTCGAAAATTTGAAACTTTTTCGAAGCTCTGTTGCGTCAAACTGACGCGTTTCTAGAAAATTTTGTGCAGAAAAAATGGCAACTTTGGATGCGCTTGCGCATGGCTCACTTATGAAGCGTTTTCGGGCATATGTGTATAGGAAAAAATAGTCATATATCTTGAGCCGAAAAATCGACCCTATAGGAGTTAACTTCCGAACACCCTGTAAAAAATACGGTTTAATAGTTAGGGCATCTTTTAAAATGAATGGATTATCTCTTCAGCCCCCCTCCCCTCCTTCTGATCCCTCCCTCTCTTCCCCTTTCACCCTCTCTTCCCCTTTCACCCTCTCTTCCCCTTTCACCCTCTCTTCCCCTTTCACCCTCTCTTCCCCTTTCACCCTCTCTCTCCCATTCTGCTTACTGATTTTCCTGCTTTGAAAATGCTACATTGAAATTTATGATGAGATCTAGTACCTGTTCCTCGCGGGGGCATTGGTTCTCTGTATTCCACCAACTTTTCTCCCATAGCATGGGCTGTTGCCGGCACATTATCATAATCATGTGGAGGGATATTAGTGACAAGCCAATACAGAAAGAAACTGGAGGAGCGGTTTTGAGGTGATGGCTCATCTGGTCCTATTAAGCACAGAAAAGCCAGCCACGATGATAGAAATAATTAAAAGGATTTAATGCGGGCCAACACGAGTATGAGGCAAATGTTTTTAGGTCAACATTTTCAGGTCTCGATACTCAATGGACCAATAGATAAGGTACGAATCCAAGCATTATTCTAATACATGGTCCTTAATCAGAACTTAACATAGAACACGATTCTTGCTTCAAAAATTACTGAAATCAACTCCTAACTAATATATTAAAGTTTTTATTTTCCATTGGTTACGGGAAATTTGAATTGCAGGAATTCAGAAGGAAATTCAGAGGAGGAGGAAGAAAAAAGAGGAGGAAAAAAAAGGCAAGCAAAATGTTACAAATTGAACATGATTGGCTTTTCTGTAATAAAATAAATGTGGTAGAGGGTTTGGGACACTAAAAACCAAGGAAGACAGATGTTTTTTTTGTTTTTGTTTGTAATATTTTTATTTTTCTTCTTCTTCTTTTTGTCATAGAACGCATTCATAAATAGGTTGAGTGTTTGTGTATTTTTTCGATCATTTTTCTCCTTTTACAAGTCAGTGACTTTGATAATCATAAAATATATACAACATTATCACCGTACCATTAATTCTAACGAGGATGAAACTTATATTTTAATTCCGAAAGTATTTTTCAATTTAAAGTATAAAAATAGATAAAATCTACTTCACTAAATGAAAAAAAGGTCGAATGACGCTGCTGCTGAAAAATTCGAAGATCCAATTTATAAACATAAAAAAGAGATGAAATCTAATTACCGATCATAATTATTGTATTCAGCCGCTTCAGAAAGTTCTTGTTGTTAACCCAAAGTGGTTGGTTTTCTATTTCATGAAGTGCGATAATTTCGTTTCCAAACTCAGCGCATGGGCCGTCTATCCATTCTACCTTGGTGATGAAATTTTTCAAAAGAAACAATTACTTTATTAAGCACATCGAAATTCCATATAAGGGAACTACCATCCAAACATTCAGTCTTTTAGAGCTCCTCCTATTTAAAGCGATATTACCTTGCTAAATAAAGATACCTGAATATTGTAATGCCCTTTTTATTTTAAAGTTTTTTTTTCGATCAAAATAGTTTAATTAGGAGTGAGACAAACATACGGATACCGAACAAAATGCTCGCTTTAATTCTTGTTCATATTGCTAGCGGGTGTGTATCAATTTGATGTTGCAAATTTACATGAATTAGACCAACTTAGCACCATTGTCAGTGAAACGTGGAAACTTAGACATTGGAAAGTAGATGAAGTTAAGCCAGTTTGAGGAGTTGATGCAAATTTGTGATCATAATCATGCATGATGTTTGTTTATAAATTTTCGATTGAATATTCACAATTACTCACATAAATCGTTTCATTTGGTGCCTTATCTAAAACGTCGGGAATGATCTTGTGTTTTATTAAGGCATCTTTTATTTCTTTTGGAGTCCGTTTTATCTCATACTCTGAATCAAAAGGACTCAGAATATCACTATCCATTGTTGTGCTCATACTCATTACAAAATTGAACCAATTTATCCAAACTAATGAAGCTTGAAAAGTGGATGAGAAGTCATGCATATTTTTCACAAAACAGCGGTCCATGGTCGCTGAAAAGAGAAAGCAAAAAAGATATGGGTTCATTTGAATCAATATTTTGATAGTGGAAAGGATTAGTTTACTTTAGATTTTATTTTTAAAAATCTCTCACGTAAACATGCTTTTTAAAAAGCTTGTACCACTGTTATGGCAACAAAAAAACCTTAAGGCATTAACGTGTGGTGGTCTATAAAGAAACAGGTACACACTGTATTTTAAAGAAGGCTTGGAAAGTTTCGGCAGATATGAGTGTATTTTGCGATACACATCAAATAACAAGTGGCGAACTGTCATTCTCATACAATGTATGAGACCATCCTTATCAGGCCAATCGCTCGATTATCATAGGTTAAACAAAATCAAAAACTGCTGAGCCGAATGATAAAGTGACCCCAGGAAATCCAAATTTCATCATCCCGAAGTCCCCCCCGTCTTGATTATTTAGAGGGGAGGGGGGGGGGTCTTGATTTTGAAACTCGAGGCTCCTGTCACAATTGTGAAATTATTTTATCAAAACTAGAAAGTGCGAAAATGTAAATCTTAATCGACACCAAAAATTCCAACACCCGTTTATTCTATGTCCAAAAGACTGGTCCCTGCAGGGGGGGGGGGAGAGGGGAGACACTCCCTCGTTAGACAAGGTAGTATTTTGGATAAAAACCGAGGAGAGAATAATAGAGTCAAAACGGCGTGATCATGTTCAGATTCAGAAACTTCCAGAGGGATATTCCACAAAATTGATTGACATAGGTCTAGAGACTTAAACGCAGCGTCAGAAAAGTAAGATAGCGTTGATAACGCCTTCCAAAGCCGAGGACCGGGTAACTTTGATACCCCAGACTGCTGGCGCATATAAATAGGTGGAAATGAAAAAAATATCAATAAAAAATTGAACATTATTAAACTTTAGTGATAAAAACAAAAATATCTGACAAATGGAAGCTCACGTTCCAAGTCGCGTCAACTGCTCTACCGTGATCTTTCAAGCGCTCCGCTTATGGGGAGCGCTTTTGGGCGCTTCTGGGTACCAGATGCGCCCTTTCCAGCCGTTCGACTCCCCCGATGTAACATGTACTATACTACATACCGTTTTGCCTTATGGGTAATGACGCCATTCTGGTACACCCGGGAAAATTTGATTTTCTTCTGCATCTGGTATTCGTAAAAGTTTTCGTGAAATGTTTTGCTTTTTAGCATGACAATCTCGCACGGACGTATTACCTGGTTAAACTATGTTGGGGCTTCGTTTTGCTTAAATGCCTCATTATCGAGGTTGTAGTTTCAGATTGATTCGAAAATATCACGAACAGTCACGTGATCTCTTCATTTTAGTGACGTATTACTGTGCTATTTTGTGATTGGTTCATTTTCTCGGCGCAGCATCGTCAAGCGTCAGCTGTTTGCGGCATTGGGCTGAAGGTTTAAGGTTATGTCATGGACCAAGAGAATAAATAAGGACCCCCAACTCCAGTTAGCGGTGACATTAGCGCTGCCTGACAGAGTGTTCACGCCGTGATTATAGGTCCAGCCAGCGCCGATGTCGTTGATGTCACCGTCGGCCGGCACCGCGTCGCCGCGGTCGCTATCTTCCCCGCGACCCACGCTTCCCCTGCCCGCTGCTGCACTCCTGTTCTCACGGCCACGCTCCCCCGCGAGCCGCGACCCGCGCGCCCTGTAACGAGGCAAATCCCGTTTCTTCAGAGGCACATACGTCCTCTGGTATAAGATAAGCCAACGTTACTGTAGTTGCCGGAATGAGCTCGCCGGGATCCTGGATTCGGGCGCCAATTTAAAAAAAATGAATGAGTTTGAAAGAGGGGAAGAATGATCAAACTCTTGTGTCTCAAATTTACAAAAAGAATGTCCGTTTATTAGCTAAATTTGTGAGGATCCTACTCAACCTACATTCGAAATGTTGATAATAATTTAGCCGAAATGCCACTCACTAACGTGCACCTCTAGGTTTATACGTTAGGAAATAATTTACAATCGACGATAAAATCCTAAAAATGAAATCAAAATAAAACGGAAGCCGAAATGCTACTCACTAACGTGCACCTCCAGGCTTAAAATTGCAGGATACATGTAAGAGAAGAGGAGGAGTGAAGCTGGGCGAAATGCTACTCACTAACGTGCACCTCAGCACAGAGGAAGAGAAAAGAGGAAAGTGAAATGGACAGAGGGCTCGACGAGATGCTACTCACTAACGTGCACCTCGAGTCGAAAAAGATTTAGGAAAGATGGGAGAAGAGGTGACCCTCCGGAGAGGAGAGGGTGATGAACAATGTTTGGCTTAGAGGGCTATCAGATTGATTTGAAGCTATTGAAAGACGATCTCGACATTCGTTGCAAAATTTTTGTTACAAGAAAAATTAATTAAAATATAAAATTTACAGGAATGGATGTAGGAAAATTTCCTACAGAAGTTTATAGTAGTTTAGAATTTTTTACAATTTTTCGTTT